TAGTAGTTTCTATAATCAGGTTGTCTCATATTTCAGTTATTGGTATCCATTCCAGGCAGGTGCACTGGGACCATAGCAGGTCTCTTTCTATAAGTTACTGGCTGATAAATGAAGTCTTCCAACGTGCTCAAGTGCAAGTAAATATCACTAATCAAAGTGAAATGGGTCAATGGAAAGCAGCATGCCTTCACTGTAGCTGAGAGGACTTCCAAAAAAGAGAATAGGCTTGTATCAAAATTGATTACTGAGTTAGCCTCTAATTTTTCCATAGTCTGTTTAGCCAGATAATTTCACAGTTCTGGAATGGCAGCATAAGGAGCTCAGCAGACCTGCTACCCAGTAAAAACAACTATAAATGGTGAAAATGACCCAAAAACCACCCAATAATTTAAAGTCTCTGAAAGTCATTTTAAAGGCATACTGTAAATGAAGAAACATTTATTCAAGAAAATCTATTAAATCTCGGTTTGTTGCACTTGAGCCCCTTCCCAATTCAGTGTGACAAAAATTGCTGCTAATTGCTCCCCCTTGCCCCGGCAACTGGTCATGGACTAGGACTGCTCTCCACAAGGGACAGGTTTCCAACATTTCTCATCTCCTCCCCACCCCAGCTCTGCATTGCAGAGGCTAAACTCTGGGCAACTGCAGCCAAGATATTGACAGTTCCCTCCCTCTACCCAGCCCCCTTTGGTATGATGGAGGCTTTACGTCAGAAGCTGCAGGAAGGGAATACTAGGGCCCCAATCACCGATCACCCTTGCCCCAGCTCATTCATAGGGTGGAAGTTCCACGCCAGAAAAGGTAAGCCAAGAAGACCAGAGACTGCTGCCCCTGCCAGCACTCTGCTCGTAAGCAGGAATGTCATTGTAAGAAAAGTGGGCCACTATCCCTGTCTCCAGAACAGTAGTAGCTCAAGAGATTTCGCCTAGGGCTGAGGTGGGCCATAATGAGAGAGTTCAAAAGCTCTCCCCTAAGGACCTGGCTTTATAGGGAACAGAGCGTAGAAAATTCAAGCTCTCCAGAACAATGAGGATTTTGGTGGCATGCAATTAAGAGGAGATCGGTAGCTCTGTGAGTGCAATAAGCTAAACCATAAACTAGCTGCTTTACCAGAAAAAGAGGTAGCTGAAAAGAGCCAAACTTCAAACCTCAAAGAGTGATCTCAAAAATGACACCTGCAAAGAGGCTCAAGTTTAATTAGAAGAGAATGGAGAGAAATTTATGTCCCAGGGAATTATTGAAAATAATAGAGTAATTAGTTGGCAATTAGTAGAGGCTAACAGCTGGGTGCTCTTCCAACAGAGAACAGGGAAAGGAACAGTAGGAGAGCCCTGCTAAAGCCACTGCCCTCCAAAGGCTAACTGTGCACTTGTCTGATATTTCTGCCCAAGATCACTAAAGCCTAACTACAGTGCTGGGTGTGAACCGTCCTCCTCCAGTGTCTCTGACCCAGCCAATCCCCATACCAGATCTCTGACAATATCCTGGGAGCTTAAATAAGTCAGGCAGTGAAAGACAAATACTATATGATCTCACCTATAAGTGGAACCTAATCGACAAAACAATCAAGTGAGGAAAATATAACCAGAGACATGGAAATTAAGACAAACTGACAGTAACCAGTGGGGAGGGAGGAAGGAGATAACGGGGAAAAGAAGGGGAAGAGCTGTCAAGGAACATGTATAAAGGACACATGGACAAAGCCAAAGGGGGAGTAGGATTGAGGGTGGGAGGTGGGGGTGGGTGGGATGGGGGGGAAGTGGTGGGAGGAAAATGGAGACAACTGTACTTGAACAATTAAAAAAAGAATTTTCAAATAACAAAACGACTCTGAGAGCCTCACAGTATACTATTACAGCCCTACTATTCTACCATTCCCTCCACTTAAACCACTCAAAGCATTAGGGCCAGAGGATCAAAGAGCCATCTGGTTGACCTCTCACAACATAGATAAGACCAACAATGAAATATTCAGTTTAATTACAGTATGATTCTTCCAACAGTATTGTCCTTTATTTGTTCCTCTACCAAAATAATAAATTCTAACTATTTATAGTTTAAATCAATTTAAAGAGCTGGCCTAGAAACCCAACTCATATACTGTATTTTTCTTGTAGGAGAAAAAAATGTTCAGCAATTGTTTATACAAACCAACCATGTTTAAAGTATTTTCTTTTTTTTGGATAACTTAATTATCCTAACTTTCTAAATAATTATTTATAAACTTCTAGAACTTAACCAACTTTTAAGAGAGGTACTTCCCATACTTGATTGCTGTAAATAAATGAATCCCAAAAGGTTAACAGATTGCAGAAGGAAGGTAAGGTTACATTTGGGCAAACATTAACAGATGAAAATATAATCAGTATTATATTTAACCATTATAAATATACTATGTGCAGTTATTAGTGCTAGAACAAAACACCTGTCAATTATTCACAAGTTGATCTAATCCTAAGAAAATATTCCACAGTAAACAGATGCTACATACTGAGATTCAGAGAAAAATTCTCAACCCCACCTACTCTAATTTTTCTAAGAGTATCTCCCAAATATTACTCATCACACTTATGTATCTGCCACTATAATTAATAGTTCTCTTTTATTCTTTACACTTTAGGTTTTGCTGTGGAAATTTTATCACCAGGTAAGATTTTTTTAATTCAGATATGACCAAGGTAACTTCTAAATTCATAATAAGGTGGTTATTGGAATCAGGATGATAATAAATCCTTAGCTTGTACTTGCTGAAGAGTCAATAATCTCTGTAAGGAGAGCTAACCTAAAGCTTGTGAAAAATATATTAAAGTTCTCCTGCATTTGTATATTTGGGAGGTTTTGGCTTTTTAAGTTTTGCCTTAGATATCATTTTTGTAAGCCTAAACCATTAGAGTAATACCATATGTTATTCCAGTAATTTTTTAAAGGTTTTTGTTTTTGTTTTTGTTTTTTTTAAAGAGAGGGGAAGGGAAGGAGAAAGAGAGAGACAGAAACATTGATGTTAGAGAGAAACATCAATTGGCTCTCTTCTGTATGCGCCCCAACCTGGGGTTGAAACTGCAACCCAGACATGTGCCCTGACTGGGAATCAAACCAGCAACATCTCAGTTTGCAGGACGATGCCCAACCAACTGAGCCATACCAGCCAGGGCTCCTACAATTCTTTGTACAATATTAGGAGAAGTTTTCTTTCACTTTGTTTTTAAAAAGAAGGCACACAACTGGAACAAAAAGACTGTGTGCTATTACTCTTCCCTCTGTTAGCTCTGCCCAAGTTTCCTAACAGACACACATCTGATCTGGCAAGCAGATAAAGATATAGGTCAAAACGAGCCAAGTTTCTTGTTCCATGTAATTCCAAAAGCTTCAATGCTGGACTTCATACATTAGTTTACTCTTAATTCAAATGATATGATGTAGCATCACTCTGAGAGGTACCATGTAATCTTAAATGATGAAAAAATTCTTATCTGTTTTTAAATGTCTATATTATAAAAAATATTAAATATGAAGAGAGATATAGGTATGTAACTCAAATTCAATCCAAAGCCCAAGAATGGTTTTCTCAAGAAACGTACTCCCGAGGGTCAGGAATCCTATCACTTTTGATTTTATACCCCAAGGGCTTTACACAGTCACTGGCAAATAGAAGATGCTCAATGACACAAAATTAAAAGTACAACAACAGAAAAAGAAACCTCATTCCTCTGAACATATCTTTGTGTTTCAGTCTATTTTTGTTGTTGTTGTTGTTGTTGTTTTTGTTTTGGAAGGCCTGGGAGAAGGTTGTGATAGAGAAGAAAATGGTGGGTTGGTTGGAAAAAGACCACCAGGACAGAAACAAGGTAACAATGAAAAAAACCTTTGAAGAACCTAGAAATCAATAATCAAAAGCGTGAACTGCAAAGACAGGGTGGATGGGCATCTGCCATAGCCAGACCAAATCTTGACAGTGTTCTCTCTCATTTGTGCTTGCTTTCCCTTAACCAGAAAAAAGCTTACATTCTACTTTATTCTCTTTAGAGGAATAAATGGGACACAATATTTCTCATGGCTCCTTTTTGAAAGCACAGAACTGATTACGTTGATTTTCATATAATAACTATTTACTTAATTAACAAGCTCTCAGCCAGTTTGTTCTTCCCACTCTTAACTAGTCCAACATTATATAACCCTAATCCTAACCTTAATTCTAACCGTCAAAGGAAAAGAAATTTTCCCCAAATAGGATCTATTGCTAACAACACATTACAATTTTTCATATGGTTTCTGCAGTGAGATTTAAACTGGTTCCATGATGAGGGAGGAGAAATTCCTTTGGTGCAAGAGATCAGAGAAACAGAAATCCAGGATACATCTATCACTGAAAACAGAATTTTTTAATTCATCGTATTTTGCTGTGCATAATGCGCACCTACATTTCTGTGCCTATTATACACGGGATTATTATGCCCATTGTTATACCCATGATATGTAATCATTATACCCATGTATAGCGCACACCCTTATTCTTCCCTCAAAAATTTGGGCCGAAAAGTGGACGTTATACATAGCAAATAAGGTAACTTTACCCTTAAAGCTAATATCTTTAGTAAAAGTTCTTAAAAATCAACAAGAAAAAGTAAAGCTGTACATTCCCCAGAGAGATATAAGTTAACCTTAAAATAAAATAAAGCACAGTGTTTAAGATTACAAATGCTTTATTTAATAGGGTAGCAGAAACCTATTAAAATGTATTGTTTATTATACACTAAGAACTTTCCCTTGTGGTTCAAGAAGAAAAAAACCAAACCAACCAATTAATCTTTGGATAAAAAGACTTCTTGAAATCAATTTAATGGAATATATCAAGTTCCAAACTTAAAAACTTTCTTTTACTTTGGTCACAAAATGACCCAGATTTCAAGATCTAGTAAGTAAAGGATCCTCAAACGAAAATGCATTGTTCTCTCAGGACAGCAGATGAATGAGTCACTTGGACCATCCCACTGCCCACTCACCAGATGTCGGACTTCGCGTCGTAGCCTTGGTGTTTGAGAGCCTCAGGACTCATATAATGGGGAGTTCCAGTTAAAGTGGTGGCTAAATCACAGGATCCCGTTAGGAGTCGAGAAACTCCAAAATCCCCTTGAAATAATAATTAATTTTTATGACTATTTTAAAACAATGAAAAGCAGCCCTGGAAATCAACAACTGAGGATCTAATTTGGCAATTTTAATATGCAATGATTCATATCATTTTAAAAGGAAAAAAATACTTTAAATTACACAATGCTGGTGAATAGCTTTATGGGTGAAAGAAGACTTTGATCCAGTCAAATAAATTATGTTAACCAAACTCTTTCATTTTTGGAATTCTGAGGGACCAGCAACTTGGAATAAAAAGCTATTTCAAGTCTGAATAACAAGAAACAGAATGGTTTTGAAAGGGCTGAATATAATGATTTGCAATTTCATCTGAGGGGGGAGAGTTTGTTCTTCATTTCCAATAAAGAAAAATTTTAAATAAAAGACTTGAGACTTTTCAGGAACATGACTATAAAAATTTGAATCCGTCAGCTTCTCTGTACTTGCCTAACTAGTTGCATGCTTTTATGCCTTCCTTCTCTAAGAACATCTTGCATGAAGATTAAACAATCCAGTAAAAATTATGAGCGAGATACAGTACTGAAGTAGAACAAAAAGTTAACAAAGCCATTATATCTATTTTTAATTCTCTGAGATAACTGCTAATTACTTGTGATAAAATAAGCAGGGAAATCTGTTATAACTAATCAAACTAGTAAAACAAGTCTAACCACTTGCGAAGTATCTGGTATGGAGTAGAAATTCAAAAAATACTAATTGAATCTACAAAGTATGTAGCAAATGTCCCAAACGTTAATTTATATCAGATAATCCGAAATAAAAGAATTGGGTTTTATCGGTCCCAATCAAATAAGAACAAAAATTTGAAAGCTTTAAATAAACCAATGACTACTCTAATACTCCTGGGTGTCATATACTTCAATTTGCTATATCGATAACATCTAAATGGTATACCCTCCCATGTTTCTGGAATACACACTTTTAAAAACCTTACCAATTTTAAGTAGATTATTTTTCAGAAATATGTTCTTTGATTTTAAGTCTCGATGAAGTATCCTCCTAGAAAAAGACAAAAAGGGGTATATGATTTCATGCAAAATGTAAAGTTTTAAAATTTAAGATATATAATATATATGAGTGTATGTGAAGTAATTCACACATAAATATACATTCCTACAGATATATTTTTAAATATTTAAGAGCTACAAAGCCACAATATTTTCCTGTTTCTGTAAGGAAACAGAAGTTGGTTGTTTTTTTTTTTAATTTTATTCAGGAAAACATGTAATTGAAAACAAAGTGAGATGAGTTCAACTATTTTAATAGGCCAGATGTTATTGCGTTTTTGTAGCATGACCTACATATATCTAATAATCATACACTGAGTTTTAGACGAATTAGCACAAAGATTTACAATCTATTATATATAATCTATTATATATTACACATGTTACATATATAATCTATTATACATATTATAGTACAAATGTTCAAGTTTTACATATTTGTGGAAATAATGTTGATGATCAAATTTTATAACAGATAGCATTTATTAAGCCTTACTATAAGCCAGTAATGTAAATTATGTCAATTAAGACTTTTATTTCTGCAATTATGGTAAACTGAACAACCGGAAAATCTTTGCCTAAAAACACCTAAAAATGTTAAAATAAGTATAAAAATATCTTCACATATGCACAGCTGAGCCCACAAGAAAATAAAGCAAATGCTGAGGACTATACAATAAGAAAACCTAGAGGGTTGCGCTTGGCTCAGTAACTGGCTTTAATGGCTTCAGAGAAACAAGAGCCAAGACATTGAACCCACATCATGTAATGTGGAGAAATGCTACTGTTATATATACATGAAGTCAGACTTCAATTTGTGGTCCATACCTTAAGTAAAAAGAAACCTAAGAAACATTCACTTTCAAGAAAACAAAATGACAAGAAAGTTTATATGACAAAATAGTCATGGGAGTGTAGAGTACAGCATAGGAAATATAATCAATAATATTATAATAACTATGTATGGTGCCAGCTGGGTACTAGAAATATCGGGGGAACATTCTGTAAAGTATACAATTGTTTAACCACTATGCTGTGCATCTGAAACCAATATAAAATAATATTGAATATAAACTTTAATTGAAAAATACTAGAAAATTTTTAAAACAGAAAGTTTATCTGTATAGGTCTGAACTCTGAGTGCAAAAAAACCTCTTCCTTTTACAGTTTATAATCATATGTCTCTGAACATTTGGGATTCAACCATGCAATAGCTATATGGTCTCAGAAATTCTAAAGCCAAGAAATTAACATAAAAATTGGTCCTCTACCACTAATACCCTCTTGGGGCATCGGACAGAAGAAAATGCAAACCAAAAATCAGCAGATTTTTGTCAGATAATCTAATAGGATTTAAACTATAAAATATTTTAAATAATTAAAATCATAAAGAAAGAAAATAGAAAACATAAGATAAAAAAAGGATACTACCCCCCCCAAAATGATGCTGATTTAAGAAACAACAAAATAGAATTTCTAAGAAAAAAATGTGAGTACTGAAATTAAAACCTCAAGAATTAATCCTTAGCTTCCAATTATGATGGAGGAAGCTTATATCACACTGAACCTCCCACCTTCGGCAGTTGTATAGAAAACAGTAAAAAATTTAAACAATGTAAACTCTGGATAAATTTTTTTTCTTATAGAACAACTTTGAAGATCTCAGAGATCAGCTTAGGCAAATTAAGGGAGTCAGCATTTGAGGAGACAGAGGCTGGAGAGACAGAAAATGCACTGAAGGGAAAAGCATTGTGTTTTCCTCTCAGGTCATTTGGCATAAACAGAATGCTGTGGCCTTCTGTAGAGTTTGCAGAAGTTTCACTGAGCTTATAAGCCAAAAATTGTAGTTCAGGACTACAAAGGCAGCCAGGACTTGAGGGACAAATATTACAGACAAAAGGAAACTAAAGAGAAGTGATTGTGACATTCTGCATGGATTTTACTTTTGAGGCACCTGTTGAATTTTAAACTGTTCAGGGGAAAAGACATTAAGGAGAAGGCAGATGCTAAGAGGTTACAAAACTAAGTGGAGCTCTTAGTCACAAAGATGAGGAGAGTCTTTGAAAATAACTAAAGTCCTCAGCTGGGACAAACTGAAAATAGACCAGCCCTCACAAAGTGTGAAACCTGCCTTAAACTATCTGTTTCTTGATGGGTTGAGGTGATCTGTCTCTCAGACAGAAAAATATTAAATCATCTCCAGAAGAAGATAGTATCATCCAACATCTCTACACTATTTCACAAATATTGTCCAACATTTACTCAAAAACTACCAGACATGTGAAAAGAAAAGACCAGATGGCCCAAAGCCAAAAGAAAAAAAAACACACATAGAAAAAAATCCATAGGTGATCCACCTATTGGAATTTTTAAATTAAGACTTCAAAGTAACTGTAATTCGTATGTTGAAGAAAACAAATGAGACACTGGAGAATTACACCATAGAACTAAATTCTAAATACATATCAATTAAAATAATTGAATGGAAATTCTAGAATTGAAACAAATACAATCACTAAAATTAAGAATTCTGTATGTTTGAAAGCAAATTAGACACAAATCCTCAAAGAGAGGATTTAAAAAATGGAAAATGGTTCATGAAAAATATTCAGACTAAATATTCAGACTAAAGCACATGTGTGCGCATGCACGCATGCGTGTGCACACACACAAGGGGTGAGAAACACACAAAAGAATACAAGGGACATCTGAAATGCGGTTTAAAAGTTCTAACATATGTGTAAATAGATCCCTAGAAGGGGTTCATAGAAGTAGAGAAGAGAATGTGAAAGCCCAACATGCACCTAACAGATACCCTGAAATAAAAGAAGAGACTAGAGAAGAGACATAATCCAAAAAGAAAATGATGGGAATTTTCAGAATTTAGAAAGACATGAATTCACAAGTTCAGATCCAAAACAAGTCTCAAACAGAATTTAAAAAATAAAAGAATTCCACAAGTGGACGAAACTTAATACTAGAGAACAACAACTAAAAAGAGAAGATATTGAGAACTATCTGAAATAAAAGAAATTACTTTAATTAAAAGGACAATTAGATGAAAACTCACTTCTCAACATCGATAACATAATCCAGAAGTCAGAGAGATAATATTTTCAAAGTGTTAGACAAAATATCTGTCAATTTGTAATTTTATGCTTAATCAGTAATAGATAATATAGGTAAATTATTATTAAAGAATGAGTCAAAAGATAAAGACATTTTCAAGATAATAAACAATAATAATGTTTTCCATCCACACAACTTAAGGATTTATTTTGGGAAGAATAAAAATGGCCATAAGAGGAAGGCCTGGGGTACAAAAAGGAATGGTGAACCAAGAGATTGATAAATGTAAGGAATCTAAACAAGTATCAGCTTAAAAGCAGTAATAATGGTAATGGTAATCACTAATTTGTGGAGTATTAAGAAAATAAAAGGATGGAGAAATGTAATTGGAGTTAAAGTCTTTGTAATGGTCAAAAAAAGGTAGATATAATGATTAACTTAAAACTTTGTTCATTCAGTTTAATAATTGTAGGGTAAACACTAAAAAAATAGGAATGAAATGTATAATTTTTAAACTAGTAGAAGAAAATGGGGATAAAAACACCTGACCAATCCAAAGAATACAGAGAAAGGAGAAAAAGAGATGTAACAAAAGAAAACAGTAGAAGTACATTTCATATATTGTTAATCACAACATACCGAAAGAGAAAGAAGCAGGACTGACTTTTTTTTTTAATTGTTCTAAAGAACACACTTAAAACATAAGGACATGGGGAGGTTGAAAGTGAGAGGGTAGAAAAGATATTCTAAGCAAAAGGAAGCTGGCAAAAAGCAGTACTAGGCAAATCAAAGATAAAGACTATCACTACATAATAAATCAATAATTTATTGGGACGATTTTAGAAGTTCATACTTTTGTATGACACAGGTTTAAATATATGGTGAAAAAATTAATATTAATAAAAATTTAAGGAAAAATCGATAAATCCACAATCATACTGGGGAATTTAACATTGCTCCTTTGGAAATTTATGGATTCAGTAGATGAAAAATTAATAAGGAAATAGGTTTTAGCCACACATTTACAGATTTGAAGAACACAATTAGCTTGAACTAATCCACATAAATTGAATATTGCATTAAAAAATTAAAAATCAATGTTCTTTCAGGCACACATAAAATACTGTTAAAAATTGTCAATGAACTAATCCATAAAGCAAGTCTCAACAGATCACAAAGAAGCAGCAGCATATAGTCCACATATCCTCTGGCCTCAATGAAGTCAAATAGAAACCAATAAGGTGTTTGGCACACTGTCAGGCAATGGCAACGACTGATCAAGACAACCAAATTCTCTGTTATTTAAACTTTGTTCTGATAAGGTAAATGGACAGGAAACAACTAAATGAGCAGATATATATGATATCAGCTAATAGTAGAACTATTAAAGCAATAAAGTAGAGTAAGGGGCTAGAGACTAATCAGGGTAGGGAATGTTAGTTTAGATCAGTGATCAGGAAAGTCCTTAGAGAAAGTGGCCTCAGAGCAGAGATGTGAATGAGTCATAGTTGTGATGGTTGTTACTGTTATTGCTTACATTGCTATTGATATTGTTACCACCAACGTGTCAGATAAGAAAGCCTGTGTGAGGCTATTAAGCAAAGATGAATGGTGAACAGAACAAGTGAATTATGCAGATCACCTCAAGAGAAACAAGACTGAACAATTAGGAGGGGCTCACGCTGCATTGTCCTCTCCCCTTACTGTTCCACATACCACTCCCTGCTCAAGACCCTCCTGGCCCCTGCTGTTGGCTGAATCAAGGCAGCCTAGCATTTGGGCTCCTCCATTTCCAGCCTCCTTTTCCACCTATTTATACATCTCTAAGAAATGGCCTGACAAAGGATTTTTTTCAATTGGTTAATTTATTCATATGAACAATCTAACGAAGAAATGAACATTTAGTTATATATTTGGAGTACC